ACACGATACCCTGTACCTTTATACGTGTCCACCATCTGCGAATGAAGGTGCAGCGTATCTGAACAGACGGCGTTGAGGAACTCTCTGTCGTGAGACACGAGCAGGAGTGTTGACTCCCACTTCTCCAAGTAGTTCTCTAGATATATGACGCTCTCTAAGTCCAACATGTTAGTAGGCTCGTCCAGTAGCAGCCTGGGAGAGTGTTGTGGGAGGAATACGATTTGCTGGTTGGAGGGGGATGAGCCGGTATGTATGAGGTACATCAACCAGGTTGAAACTGTTATGGATGTACACTAAGATATATCAACCAGGTTAGAATTATTATGTATTAACTCCAAGAACAGGTACATGTAACATTCATCAATCAGGATAAAACCCATTATACTGATGAATAGGTGCATACAACATACATCAACCAGGTTAATCCCAAACCGTATTGAACCCAAGAACACAGTCAGTATATGTAAAACTATTGCATAAGTAGCAGAGCGGGATATTCAACAAGCCAATGGCGGCCCTATCTAACTCTACCTTACGCGGATACAAAGTCACTTACAAATCGGGTTTGCTAAACAGGGCTTGTGCTAGGGCTATACGCATTCGCCAACCTCCGGAGAATGCTTTGGTGGGCCATTGCTGTCTCTCGGGAGGGAACCCCAAACCACTGAGAATCAGGGCGGCCCTGTGATTGGTTAAAAAGGAGATAGATGCGGTCCCAAAATCAGCACTTGAAGTACTGTGGTTGGGTTAAGATTGGCCCTGAACTACCGTGATTGGGTTGAGAAAGACCCTAAAGTACTGTGATTGGGTTTAGATTAACTTTGAAGCACTGTGATTGGGTTACGATTGGCATTGAAGTACTGCGGTTGGGTTGAGATTAGCCCTGAAATACTGTGATTGGGTGAAGATTAACCCTAAATAACTGTGATTGGGATAAGGTCGGCCCTAAATAACTGTGATTGGGTTAAGGTCGGCCCTGAAGTACTGTGGTTGGATTCAGATTAGCCTTGAAGCACTGTGATTGGACTAAGATTGGCATGGAATTACTGTGGTTAGGTTACGATTAGCCCTGGAATACTATTGTGGGGTTCAAACTGTCCCTAAGTACTGTGGTGGGTTAAAATTGGCTTTTAAGTACTGTGATTAAAAGAAGATTAGCCTTAAAGTACTGTGATTCAGTTAAGACTGCCATTAAAGTACTGGTTGATTGGGTTAAGATAGGCATTGAACTACTGTAACTACGTTCAAGATTGGCCCTAAAGTCATGTGATTCGGCTAAGAAACCTCTTCACGGGGTGATACGTTGATGTGGAAGCAAAGTTCCTCGTGCAGCTGTATTCGAACAAACGTCTTGCTTTCGATCGTTTTCCACACAACTAAACACTTCCGGAACCTAATGAAAGGGAAAATGAATCAGAACATATCTAATGTCTTGCTTTCGATAGTCTCGCCTTCTAATCGTCATCACATGGATACGTTCGTATGGTCTGTATTGCGTTCGTATGGTCTGTATTGCGGTCGTATGGTCTGTATTGCGTTCGTATGGTCTGTATTGCGTTCGTATGTGTCTGTATTGCGTTCGTATGGTCTGTATTGCGTTCGTATGTGTCTGTATTGCGTTCATATGGTCTGTATTGCGTTCGTATGGTCTGTATTGCGTTC